GTGCGATCGTCGCAATCGGCCCACACCACCACCAAGGAGCCCACGTCACCAGCGCTGCCACGTAAGGAACCCAACACCACCCCGAACCCAAAAGCGAAAACCACCAAGTCGCAGTTCGCGACTCCGCAGAGGACCCCCCGTGTTGTCGACATCAAAAGACCATCACCACTTTCTGGCAAGGGAAGTGCGCGACGACCCGGTCCCACCCGATTCGCTCCTGTGGAACCCCCATCGCCGATAGTCCTGTCACCCGTCATCTCCAACAGCTCTGCGACTTCATCGCCATCGCCATCTGTCTTCTCCGAAGCGGCCAGTTTTTCTGCATCGAGCCCATCAACGCCTGCCACGTCACCACCTGGCTCTCCAATGGTGCCAACAACACACGCTCGCTCGCAGTCGCTAAGTTATTTTCCGCCGTCTCATTGGACCATCAAGCCCTCGCCTTCCCCGATCTACGTCCCCAGGCAAAAGTTGAGGAGGAAGGACAGTCCCAAAATGGAGACTCTACGCACACTAAGAGCGAAGGAGTCGGACATGATGCTGCAACAAATCTACGACCAACATTGGGAAGCATACCGCGCAAAACTACTTGTAAGTTCTGCCAACGCACCTTCCACGCAGCACTCACTAACCTGGCGTAGAATATGACTAGCGGACTCCGCGCTGCAGAGCGACTTTAACGATCACGATTTATGACTTAACGACTTCAAGACGAGGGCATGCATGGCGTCACACGGCATCTGATTATAATACCCCGGGTTTGGATATATGGGCGCATTTAGAAACCGATTTGCATTTACGGTCTGCATTCACGGTCACAAGCGTTTTAACATATGGGTATACACTGTAATCTAATAGAGCACAGGGCACTACAGCCCTGGTTTGATTCCAACATAATCTTCGTCGACGTCTCTGAGCGAGCGAGCGGCGCACACTTTCGTGCTGCGGAGCCTCAGCTGCACGCATGCACAGCTTACATCACCCGTGCATGGCAGCTGACCTTGATAGCACGCAGCCCCATCGTGCGGCGCTAGTGATTGGTTGACACATCTGACAAGCGCAGCAGACAGCCTCACCAGGCCTTAGCTGCCTACCTAGTATTCTCCCCGCTGCACCCGCCACCTGATATTTGTTCACCAACTTTACTCCTTTTGGAGATGCAACTCGCAACACATGAACTCCCAAGGTAAACGTACATTGTCTGTGCTATATCCAGACCGCCTGCGCCGCACATCCGTCGTGGCGCAGCGCGTAGCCCTGTTATGTGTAAAGGTGGGCCTGACCTAGCCACCATAGGCTAAGCAGGCGCGTAAGATGGCCCCCAAATGGATACCCATATGCCTCGAGCGTTCTCCATGTTCGCATTGACGCGGAACAGCACATCAAACTGTAGTTATGTGGGGGGTGTGGCACAGGACTTATAGGAAGCTTGTTCCCACTTCCCGTTGTTTTCGATGATTTTCTGGTAGCATTCTGAGATCGCGTTTCTGCCCTGGTGGCACGTCATTTGTTTCATACCACAAAGCGCAGCCTTGTAGGCAGCCTTGGGACCTTTCTGCAGACGACTCAACATCTGACTCACGCCTCATCGTTGCCACTGTAACACGTATCGATTTGGAAGAGGCCGCCTCGTGCCAGTCATGCGTATGAGTCGGAGGCGGGTTTAGTGTTTGACTCGACAACTTCAGTGCAGTATCCTACACTCACAAGCAAACGTCTCGCGACTGTATTCAAATCACAGTATACCATCGCCGTTCACGAAAACCCCGGATCGCGAGAAACTGATACTGACGACACCGACATCTGTTGCCTTTCTCGGCGCCAACAACCATGGAATCCTCGAACCCAGAGAGAAATGACAACGCGCCGCTGCGCTTGCTCTCGCTAGATGGAGGGGGTGTACGGGGCCTGTCGTCTCTGTTGGTACTTCAAAACCTGATGGAGAACATAGCCTTGGAAGAGAAGAGGTTAGGAAGGAAAGCCATGAACGACCACGAACCGCTAAAACCGTGCGACTACTTCGACCTTATTGGAGGCACATCAACGGGTGGCATAATAGCCATCATGCTGTCACGATTGCGACTCGATTGCAAAACCTGCATCGCTGTATACAGTAAATTAGCGGAGCAAATCTTCAAGCACGATCGATCAATAAAGGCATTTGGCATGAAGATCCCCACAGGAGCTAGTCGGTTTTCCGGTGCCGTTCTCGCAAATGCCATCAAGTCTGCGTTGAAAGACCTTGGCTTCGATCCAGATGAACTGATGTGGGATGAGGCGCTTTTTGAAGAAGTGGATGAAGCGGCTGATCTACCCAGAGACAGCATTTGGGCAGATGCGCCGCCAGCGCCGGTAATCACAGAGAGTCCGGTCGGCACACTCAAGAACTCGCTATGCTCGTTGGAATCAGGCCCTCCTGAAAGTGTCGATAGCACGAAGAATCTGTCTACACTGTTTAGCGACAGTCCATTCGGCCCGCGAAAGCCAATGCGAAGCGCTACTTGGAAGCTACATCACCGGCAATCAGTTCACAAAAAGGCAAACGCGAAGGGGTGCCGCGGCTTTGTACTTACTTCCCTCAAGAACGCGTTGGGCCTTCCCCGAATACTGTCTACCTACGATCCCAATGACCGGACGACGAGAATCTGGGAAGCGCTAAGAGCTACATCTGCAGCACCAACCTTCTTCGAAGAGATGCAATTCGGCACGCCTAAAGTTACCTATCTAGACGGCGGCGTAGGATTCAACAACCCGTGCGCAGAAGTCGACTACGCGGCGAAAGCACTCTGGGAAGGCCGCTCCATCGGCGTCATAGTCTCCGTCGGCACCGGCCTACAAAGCATCCCCAGCGTAAAGAAAATGGCATCGTGGCTGCCCTTCGGCCTTGGAACAGACATCTCCATAGCCAGCGCGCTCACGGGCATGGCAACAAGCACCGCACGCGTCGACAACGAAATGAAGCGCATGTACAACAACTCCGACACCAAATACTTCCGCTTCGACGTCGACCGCGGCCTCGCAGACGTCAGCCTCGAACAATGGATGAAAGAAGACGAAATGGCCTCCCTAACCGAACTCTACATGAACGACGGCGAGCAAATCCGGTCCGCCAAAGACTTCGGCCAACGCATGGCCAAACTCTCCGCCTTGCCCCCCAAATTCGAAATCAGCGCTTCCCACTTCCGTCTAGGCATGACCGGACGCGGCCTCCTTGATTCCTCCTTCCAACTCGCGCAGGTCGACTTCAAAACGGGTATGCCGCTAGGTGTTTCCCCGCACCTCGACGATATACCACGCATGTCTCAATACCGCGATCTGTCACCCAGTGGCGAAAGCGGCCTCGCCCTCGACAACGCAACCGGCCGTCTCAAACGTATCTTCCCCGTAGCCGAAGACCTCGACCACGATGGCCGCCGCGAAGAAGCCGCCGTGTACCAGTGCATCAAAGCCGATAACATCTGTCTCCGCACGATAAAAACAGGCATACCGCAGGGCAAATACAAAGTCCAATTCCTCGTCTCCTTCCACAATAGCACGCATACGCCGCCTCGCGATCTCGTCTTCAGCGTCGGGAAACCGTTCGATTCCTCGACCTTCTCGCAGCGCTATGTTGATGTCAAGATTACACCGGATGTGGGGAGTGTGCTGTTGCATCCGGATGCGGTGAGGGTTAGGGTCGGGTCGAGACGGTATGAGGAGCTCAAGGGGAAGGGGTGGGCGGAGATTGAGGGGGATATCGAGGTTAGTGTGGGGTTAGACGGGGCGTTGGGGTTTATTGTTAGTAAGAAGTATGAAGATGGTGTGTTTGTGGATGGATGGAGTTTTGGTGGTGTGAGGCTGGAGCCGGTGTTCGGGACGGCGGGTGGGGTGGTGACAAGTCCGAGGATTTTGACATGATTAATTGAGCGGGCGTTATGGGAACGCTGTCTCGGCGAGTGGTTGGTAATCGCTCGTCGACTTTCGATGTGTACAAGCTTTGTTTCGATTCTCTTTGTCGGGTGTCTGGAGGAAGTTATGACGAGCGCAAGGTTTTGAGGTAATGTTTATCAGACGAATTATAGACCATGTAGTTTACGTGTCATAGCAGCGAAGCGCATGTTTGTTCAAGGAAACAAGAACTTTTATTGAACTGTCTACTGTTTCTATTATTAAGACACACCCTATACAAACACCGAACAGTGCCGATACGTGTGTTAAAGAGCGACGATAGTTGATATTATCGTGTGACGACAAGCCCTACGATTGGCTTGGCTAGCGTTGACCAGTGAGATCCATTCGACGGTGTCTGCATGTACCAGGAGCGAGATCCCGATGCTCAGAGTGTGGGGGAAGCAGTCGGGCAGGTGGTAACGCTGACGGTGTTGAAGACAGTGGTAGGCACGCTGGTGGTGGAGGTGATCGTAGCAGAGGCAAGAGTGAAAACCGTCGCTGTAGCGGTACCGGAGACGGGTGTCGAGGTACTATAATTGATAAGCGAGTGCATGACGGAAGCAAGGAATACAGTACTTACGTGGTAACGGTAGTCCTGGCTGTGGCCGTCGAAGTCGCAGTGACTTGAGCCTGAGTGAATGTGAAGTCAGGACCGAAGAAGCCAGCACGCTTCTCCAACTTCGCCTTGGAGTCGTCAACCGCGGCACGCTTGTTCAGCTTCACCTTGGGAGCGGCAAACGCGACGCGCTTGCGGTGAAGCTTGAAGGTGGAGCAGCCGGAGAGCTTGCGTCCTCCAATGATGTTCGAGTTAACGCGGACGTCACCGATGCTTCCCTTCATGTAGCAAGCACCAGGCTTGCCAATGACCCAGGAAACATTGACACAGCCAGTAGTGTTGTCACAGGCTTGGAGACATTGCTCGTAAGTGTCGGTGTACACGAGACCGTTTTCAACTAGATACAATATTAACTTGTGTGCGTTGTAACGATGAACAGGGGAACTTACGGTCATTGCCGAAGCGGTCAGAGCTGCACTCGACAGCATATACTGCGCCACATGACGTTGTGACCATGGAGCCATTGGAACCAGGGCAGCTAGTAGCGCCTGTTGGGCTCGCAGCAGGAGCGCTCGATGATGCAGCAGGAGCACTCGATGATGCAGCAAGGGTGCTTGATGGTGCAGCGAAGACGCTAGCAGGTGTGCATGCGCACTGGTATGCTGTGTTGGAGATGGTCGTAGTGACAGTAACGGTAGAGGGTCCGGGAGCGGGCGCAGCTGAAGTGACTGGAGCTGAGCTTGCTGCTACTGCCGAAGAAGAAGAGGAGACAGAAGAGGAAACACGGGATGAGGTAGACACAGGCGAGGAGGCTGCCGCGGATGAGGAAGCAGCCATGGACGAGGAGGCAGGTGCCGCCGAGGATGCGGCCGCAGACGAAGAAGCGACAGCAGACGAAGAGGCAGGTGTCATCGAGGATGCGGCCGCAGAGGAAGAGGCAGGTGCCGCCGAAGAAGCACTAGTTGCCGACTTAGTTGAGATGCTGCGGACCAGTCTTCCACCAATAATGTTGCTGTTCGAACCAGCAGCGTTGGCTGCGCTCTTCAGGTAGCAAGGACCGTTAATAATGTAGCTGGCAGCGACACAGCCTGAAGTGGTAGAACAGTCTGCCAAGCAGCCCTCGTAGGAGCTGGGGTAGGTCGGGCTCATTGGGCCCGGAATATCGCCACCCTGGTAGTCGGCACCGCACTCGACTAGATATTGCATGCCGTTGACAGTGACCATGGAGTTGTTGGAGCCAGGGCAAGAAACACTAGCGCCTGAACTGGCAGCAGGGCTGGAAGATGAACTTGCGGTGACGACTGTGGTGCTGACAACTGTGGTCGTGGCGACTGATTGAGAGGAAGCGCCTGCAGAAGAAGCGATCATCGAAGAAGATGAAGACACAGGAACTGATGCAATCCTAGCACCCCAGACACCACCGTTGGACCTAGGCGCACCGACACCGCTCTTCAAGTAGCAAGGGCCGTTTGGCAGGTATGAAACGGCCTGGCAGCCAGAAGTAGCTCCGCAAGCTTGGATACACTGCTCATAGTTCGCAGGGTTACCAGGCGCAACACCGATATCGGAGTTAGTGCGGTCGATGAAGCACTCGACGACGAAGTCTCCTTGAGGGGTGGTGAACGTGGCACCATCGCTCGCGGGGCAGGACAAGGCAGACGCAGATGGCGACGCGCTGGCTGAAGTGGGGGTGACAGAGCTTGAAGTGATGGCAACAGAGCTTGAAGCAGGGCTTGACGAAGCAGGGCTGGAAGAGGCTGAGCTTGAAGCCGGGCTTGAAGAAACAGAACTGGAAACACGGCTTGAAGAAGCTGCGCTCGAGATAGGGCTTGAAGAGGCTGAGCTCGAGACAGGAGTTGAAGCGGCTGGGGTAGATACAGGGCTTGAAGAAGCGGAGCTCGAAGCAGGGGTGGAGGCTGCTGAGCTCGACGCAGCGCTTGAAGAAGCGGGGCCCGATGCAGGGCTCGAGGAAGCAGAGCTGGATGATAGGCGCGCAGATGAGCTAGAAGAAGCGGCCGAGGATGATGCGGCCGGAATGGAGCTCGGTGTCGGAGTAACCGTAGTCACACTTAGGACGGTGGTAGTAGCGACGGAGGCTGAAGAGGGCGATGGGATAGGAGACGGTGAAGCGGATGAGCTGGAAGAAGCGGACGAGGGCGACACGATGGAAGCGGAGCTCGATGGAGTAGCCGTAGTGACGCTTACCACTGTGGTGGTGACAACAGAGGCTGAGCTTGGCGAAGGGATCGCGGAAGGTGTAGAAGATGAGCTCGGGACTGGTACGGCGGATGAGCTTGGCAAGGGAATGGAAGACGCGATTGAGGACGAGCTCGGCGAGGGGATAGGAGGAGGCGAAGCAGATGAGCTTGATGACGGGACAGAGAAAGGTGAAGAGATTGAGCTCGGCGTTGGCGTGACTGTCGACATGACGACCGTGGTGGTAGTAGACACTTGTGCCGACGATGATGGTACAGCCGGAATGGAGGATGATCGGGAAGACGATGGCACAATGGGTGCTGGAGAAGAGCTAGAGGAACTCGGTCGAATGGATGTCGGGCAGACAGTGAAGGTCTGTGTAACTGCACTGGTGACCGGGAATGTGGAAGTAGCGATGTTTGTCTGTGTACTCGTGGCAGAGGCGGAAGAGACTGTAGTAGTCGCCGCAGGCCTGACAGGTGCGAACGCAGTGTTGGTAGCAGTCGAAGTCGTCTGAACGACGCTTGTAGCGACAGTGCTTGGGGAAGGCTGGTCGCCGAACGCAGCAGTGAAGGCACGGGGAGTGGCAGCGAACGGGTTAAGGAACGCATAGTTATCGATCGTATAACGGCCCATGTTGACCCAGTCGTAAAGGTCGGCATCCTGACAGAAGATGCCTGTATAGGTTGCCGGCACGCCTTGGGTCTGGTAAGTGCAGGTGCGGGTGTACAAAAGCAACGGGTTGGAAATGATGGGCGTGAATGTAGGCCTGGTTCCTTGATAACAGGTAGAAGTACCAGACATATAAGTCACCTGGATACCGAAGTTGTCGCCAGATCCAAAGCTATGCCTAGCTCGATCATAACTGAAGGTTGGGGTGGCCGACCCAATGAGGGACGGCAGACCCGCGGCAACGAGCGAGCAGCCTGACATGTCGGCTGGCTACTGGGGATCGAGCAAATGTAGGAGAAAAGCGAGCGTGCAGAACGAATGATTCCTGACTACAGAGAGCAGAGGGAAGCTCTTTTATGAATCCCTACCTTGCAGCTACGCGGCTACTCAATATGTTGAGTTCATGGAGCTTAGAAGGGTTAAAAGACCCTGAACCACCAACCACAATCGAAGGCTATGGGGTTACTCCGACAGGAGGGTTCTCCTCACGATCGATATTCGGTATGTGAATGAGGGGCCGGTTGGTGAGGCATTGGAGCATGCCATCGCTTCCACCTGGGTCGCACGGAGGGAACGCTAAACATCTTCCCGAGCAGGCTGAAAAGATGCACGAATGTTTTCGCGATTGGGAGTGTTGTGCGTTTAGGTACACCTGTGTTCCTGAGGTGCGGTGTGTCGTTCATGGCACGAAACCCTTCCAAGCCTGGAAGACGCGTTTGACAGCACGGACCCCCACTAGGCGTTTAGCGCAGGGCGCCGTCGTCATCATCATGCCCGTTCACCCAGTCCGGCTCCATCTTGTCTCGAAAGGCTCACAGTTACATCCTCTGTCATGACTTCTACTTTCGATACGGATTTCGGTTTGGTTGGGCTACCGTTTTACGTACTGTATGTGCCATCTTGCTCGAAGAAAAATCACTCTATTACCGAAGAATCCAATTTGCCAAACGTACTCCAGTCTCGAAGGGTCTTCCGCCGAACATCGCATCATGAACGATCCCTGCGTCTCTGCAACCTTTCACGTAGGTTGGTAGACTAAAGGAAAACCACGAAACCACCCATATATAGCCCGCATACCTTGCTAATGCAGGTCCAATATTGTCATGGCCGGCCCCTCGGTACCGTGCCTGAACAGCCATCCATTGCACAACACCCTCGATGGTGATAGCTACCGGCTGCGACATGAAGAATACGAGTTCTCTCATATCTCTACGCGTTACCATAAGCATTTGGAACTCGTGCACTAAGCAGCTAATTGCGAAAGACACATAGAGTTGAATTAATCCCGATGCGAGACTGCCTTTGCGGAGACCCAGGAGGCGCACAATGCGAGCTGCGGGTTGCGAGACCATCTGCAATGGACATTTGCGTTAGCGATGCTCGCATACCGCACGGTGGTGGAAAACTTGGAAACGATGTAAAAGTGGAACGAGGAGTCAATCCCGACTTTACCTTTCTCATTGTTTGGTGATAGACCACACTCCAGACCTGTCTCACAGACCACGCATCCCTCAACTTTCCCATTAGCGGGGGCCATTGCCACGTTTCGCATACCCCGCATGCAACGGATCCAGCCGCCATGAAGCTGTAAGCGAAGTTCAATCTTTCCCAGACCCATATCGCACCGGACCAACCAATGAGTGCATCGACCATGAGGTGATAGGGGTGGGCTTCCGATGACAGCCGTACCTCCGCAGCTGAACCCCACCCGAGCAGTAAGAGCATGGCCATAGACCGCAAGTACGTAATCATCATCTTGTGGACATGTCTGCGCACAAAGGCCCGTTTCGAAAGGCCCTCGTACGGATCGTCAGGAACGCTTTTGACCTGCCAATTCCAACCAATACCACGATGCGACGGAACCATGAGTGAACACACCCTGAGAACTTTCTGCCATGACAGGTACATTCCATCCAAGGTTCTCGCGCTCCTAGTGTCGCTGCGCTTCGGGTTTCCAATGTATGCAGGGGCATCGGGCCCTTTCTGTGGAGCCAAAATGGCGAATTCGAGGAACCAAAGAGGGACTGCTATGAAGAACGAGCTGTTGTAATAATCGGCAGAGGGGTTACCGAAGGTATAGCATGGTGACCTAAGGCATAGGTCCAGAATCAGTGGGAATATGCAGATGGCGATCCGACGTCGGCTGGAAAAGAAGAACGGGACGATGGTAAGGACAAAGATCAGTGGTTGGTAGAGTGGCGGCATGGGCTTTCGGTCGGCGAGCTGTGGCCAAGAGTACCAAAGTGGCGTCATACTCTCCATCGTCTTCCGCATGTTGGCGTTAATAGTTTCAGGAATAGCCATTGTCACACTTCGCGGGCTACAAGAAGAAGTTCCGGCGGGGCTCGCCAATTTGTGAAGTCGCATTGATCAGGCCACCAGCCTTAGACCGCGTCGAAGGATCCGAGCTGACGTAAACTCTGCCTGTTAAATAAAGCAAGCACTATTGCTACGGCCCGTTTTCTAGGTAAGGCTAGGACAGATAGCTTTCCTCGATCTCCCATCCTCTTCTTCGGACACCCTCATTCTCACATGCTTTCCACGTTTCCACCATTGATACCAACTTATGCCTAGTCTCTTTATTCACGATAGCTCGGTCCTCCTTCAACTCGTCTCCCACGAGTTGAACTAGTGCCCAGGCAACTTCGACCTTCAACAACTCTGGTGCTGTCAACCAGCTCAACCTCGTCTTACGAATGTCGCCTACGTAGATCGCTATCAATATGCGATTGTTCTGGAGACGATCGTGCAGCAGATCGTGTTTATCGTAAATGTATAGAGATGTGCCGAATCGCTTTTCTCCCCTTCCGCTGCCCTTGGAAGACACGATGTCAGTGGCAAGGTAGGCATTCAGGTCTCGAAGGGCTTGATGGTAGACTGGCTGGCTACTCAACTCATCGATGATCGCCTCCAGCTGACCGGCGAAGAGCGTGCATTTCTGCTCCCGAGTCTCTTCTCCGTCATCGCGGGAAGGCCATGGATAATCGAGCAGGAGAAGACGCCAGGAAAAGGTATCAGGAAGGACCGAAGGCTCTCGGGCTGGGTCGCGCTCCCATTTTCGGTTGCGCAAGTTGTTGACGTAAGACACCATCGCTATTAGGATCGGTTTGCCGTGCTGTAGCCACCAAGACTCTGCGATATATTTGCCACTCAGCAATCTATTATAGAAGCCTTTCGTAAGGCTGGTGTACGTTGGCCCGTCGTTGAATAGAAACGTCGTGAAAAGATTGAGACATTGCTCTTGGATGAGTTTCGGTGTAAGAGCTGTATCGTCGGAAGAGTCCACCGCGTGTTCTAGAAGTTCGATGAAGTCCGCAGAAAAGCGACCATTCCGGAGACTGCGGTCTTGCCCAAATAGTCGTATCCATGTTTGAACTTCGGGAAGTGAAGCTAGTGCAGGATCAGCGACAAGCCCCTCGTTCATGGCTCGCAAAGATGCCGGAGGTCCGATGATAAAGCACAGGTATTCCACATATTCTTCCAGTATAGTATGCGGTACATGAGCCGGCTTCTTGTTGTTCTCGTTTAGTAGCAGCCTGTTCACGTACGGGTCTCGCGGGATGGATGGGATGCGAACGTCCATAAGCAACG